AGATCTAGGCTATTTTCTCCATACTGACTTAAATTCGTCAACTTTATCTACCTGATCCCGCTACGATCCACCCCATGCACTCATTCAAGCGTTTTGATCGTCCTACACATCACACCTTTCCAAATTCTTGATCAATGATGAGCATCCTGAATTACACTCGCTCTGCGTTAACCCGTGGCTGATACGGATTCACTTTGATATTTTTAATTGTTGCACTGTCATGTTCGTTTTGTGTTAGCCGAATATAAATCTTTGTTAAATGACGTATTTAACTGACTAGAACAATAAGAGGTGGGAAAACGAGAGTAGTCGGCTTAGCATGCATAACTAACCTGCCACACAGAATTGCACAAAGTCATTCGAGTCTGTGTCAAATAGCGTTCCATGCCCCGCTGACGCTTGGCAGCAGATGTCCAATCGGTTAGGTCATCATCCTCCAAAGACTGAATACCGTGGCGAGCGGACAGTTGTTTCTGACGAGCCAAATACCGTCTGCGTTCTGCTTGAAGTTTCCACTTAGCCTGATGAAAACTGAGCCACGCAAGTAACTTTTCATGTGAGTCCGCATCATCTAGTCTTGGAGGATCGCCCAACTGTTCGCGCCAAGGCGGAGGGGGAGCACCAGTGGATGGAGATCGTGTACGTTTGCCGATGGGGCTGACACGACCTGAAGGACGGTTTTTCACAACGATCGGCATCGGAGGCGTAGTCCCAGCCGGATCGGGATTGTTTAAGTCCGAAAATATTGCGTCACTGGAGACAGTGGACGACAGATCTTCAATGTCTGTTGCGGGTTTCGTGCGTTCCATACCTATGCTTTTCATAGTGGCCAGGGACATCATGTCTGTCAATTTGCGTTGTTTGCAAGTGTCAGTTTTATCAGCAAGACGGCGAAGTAGCCAATCCGGATGACTGACTCGTGGCACCGGATTGGGTATTTGTTGCAAGGCAGCAGGAATGGTGATAATCTTCTGGATTGCACTACCCAGTCGTTCAATGTAATACGACCAGTCGAGAATCTCACGCAGATCTGTGTCCTCGTCTAACGCAGAGTCCTTAAGCCATTTCCGTAAATAATGACGTTTCACCGACGGTTCAGCCTGTTCAATTATAGAAGAATATAAGTCACTGGCTGCGCTATTTTTGAATTATCATTTAATTTTTAACAATGAAATTAAATACTATCTGAGGGATATTCAACGCTGATACAGAAACCTTTGCATCAGAATAAATCACCTTTTTCAATTTAAAAGAGTGGTAAGAAGCCGCCACACAAGAAAACTGTAAGAGGAGATATTACGAATCTGATAGGACAATCTAATCTACTATAAATTTAGTCAAAGATGCATCGTTTCGAGTAAAAGGATAGGACACGCGTTTTAGTGTGACCGCCAGTAAGCATCTCGTAGGTAGCTAATTCAAGAGTCGATATAAAACTCGATTTAGACTGAGTCGAAAACGGGTTAAACTTCAGAGTTAGGCTAGAAAGTGGCATAGAAAAAGATCATATATGTGTGGGACTTACTGCGTTTCGGCTCCTAATTCGTTTCACGAACTTCGTTATAGGCATTAGACCGTGCTCTACTATTGCCCTTCGGGTTTATTTTTTGAACCTACTTGATTGTCTGGAGAGGTTCAATCACGGGAGCGAAGTGCCATTATTTAATAGATGGCATTTATCCAAAATGAACTATTCTCGTTTATATAGATTGATTGATGCAATGTAGATTTTCCCGTCTATCCACTGGTTTCTTTTGTGAAATATCTTACATTTTCAATAATTACAAGGGAAGATGGCCTACAACCAAAAGTTGAATAATCCGAGGAGAATGTCTGCGGTTAATGGAAATTCACGAGATAACCAAATTGCCGGTATGTTATGACAGACAGAAATGAATGCATTTCAGCGATATGCCA